GAGTGTGAAAGGTAACCTTATCCCATAAGATTCTTTTCTAGTGAGAAATCACTAAACAAATGGTAATATACTAGTGCGTAGCTAGCATATATTTGAATATTTACTATATAGTTTATTTAAAGATGTTATTTAAGATATCCATTAAACTTTTCTTCAGACAGCAAAGATCCATTCAAACTTGATTCTGCCTTCAGCTGCTAAATGTCTTGTTGATTCATTTCTCTTGAAATTTGGTATGCTCAAAATGAGCTTGAAAGCAATCACCAGTTCAGCATTTATTGATTTCTGCATTTATGCAGTTTGACCATTTAAGTGGTTTTGTAAGTAAATTAATCTGTTCCTATAGCAACATACATGGCCTGAAAGAGCTTCTATGGTTTACAGATTATATTGAAACCTGAAAATTAAACAGAAAAAAATAAAAGCAAATAAGCAGTGACTTTTTTAAAAAATGTTGTGAATGAATTTGAAGAATACGGGTTCAGAGGCAGTCCCTATATAATCAGTAAGCGTACATAGCTCCCATTAGACCTTAGAATGGATGTGTCAGGTCAAGGTGCCCTTTCTTTTTTTTCTTTCTTTTTTTTTTTTGTCCGGGTTTTAGGGTGTGTGGTGCTGGTGTTCTTTGTGGTTTTATTTTTGGCAAAGGATTCTGGAATCCCAGAACTTCTCTGACCTTACCGGAGACATTTGCCAGGTGGTTGAGGGTACGGCAGTGGCAGTGTGTCTGGCTCAGTGAGCCCACAGCATGAACTATATATCTGAATAGTAATGTGCTGGCAAGAGAATTGTACAGAATTAGAAATTAGATAGACTGCTTTTTTTCAACAATTCAGACTTATCCTTTCCGTTTATTTGTCAGAGACCAAGTCTTGAAATCCAAAGTGAAGAGTAAGCTGACCACTTTTTTCCTTCTCTATGCTAGAGCCGTAAAAGTTCAAGTTGAAAGAGGAAACTAATCCTTTTTGAAAGATGGACTTGAAGTGCTTTATGCTCAGTAGGCTTTTTTGGTGACTGAAGAAAGTTGTATGTTTGCCAGTCTCATATAACAAAACACGTAAGGAAATTCTTGCTCCTTTCTGGTGTGCGTTTTTTGAGAACAGCACTGGTGAAGAACGAAGCTGAGGGAGGCTAAAGGCAAGGGGCTGGAAGGGCTCTCATTTGAAAAATACCACAATGCCATAACTTAAAATACAAGTAAAGAGAAGGGGAAACACAGGCATCTCAGAAAATACAAAAAAATCTCATTTTTCATTTAATACTGTGTCTAAAGTTATGCAAATGCTGCAGTAGAATTCGCAGTTACTGAAATGAAAGCTTGAGATGAAGGTCTATATTAATGTCTTTAGAAGCACAATATATCTGAAATGAGAAACATAATGTATGATAGAGATGGAATGTATGATAGATGAAAGATAAGGCTTTTAGCATTTGTTAATCTCCAGTTTAATAAACTGGTATACATTATCCACACAAAAGTAAAAACCCAGAACTCTTAACGTTGTACCAAGGCTATGATTTGATGCTGGACATGCAATGAATTAATAGCTCTCTGAAAAGGTCTTGCTCTTTACTGCTTCTTATTCTTTCTTCCCGAAGATCCCACACCTCTCTTCTCCATCTCCACATCACCTCTGATGTTTTTCTGAATGCAGGGTAGGCTGAGTTAGCTCAGTCACCTGGCAGGCATTATGCTCTGAATTCGACTGTCCCTGCTCTCATCATGGCACGAGCAGGCTGAAGGCAAGCAATGATTGAATGTGTTTGAGACATAGGGAAGGAATAGAGATGGGAGAGGAAGTTTGTTCCACTCCCCTCCATCTTTCTTTTCTGTGCATATAAAAAGCTTCTTTGGACTATATAAAAAGTCTGAAGTCTTCAACTTGTACAGAAGAATTACTCAGAGTTACTGAGATTTGCTTGTGATTGCTTTTGACGTGGTCCTGACAATTCTTGCTAGTGTATATTATTTATAAGGGTCATAATTTTACATTGACTGCAGTAGCTGAATAATACGCTTGTTCTCTTAACAAGTAAATACTAAAAATGGATTTTATTTTGAATGCCCTTGCCTTTTCTGGATGTTGAGGGTGGAGTATTTTGGATAGTATACATTCTTACTTGTTATAGTCCCCATATTTTCTTGTGCCTCCATCTTTCTTCCTCATGCTGCTTTCCACAACTGGAGCAACCATCCACGTTATACTGTGCTTTGTGTTTAAGCTAACTCAGTACTCTGAGAACGAAATTAGTGGATCTTCTCTTAAAACACTTAAATTACATTTTTAAATAAGGAGTAAATAATCTGTCCCTTGTCAGGCAAACCAGAAGTTCTAATTTTCCGTCTTTTTCTTTTCTTATTAGGATGTGAAAATGAAGGCAGATTTTTTTAATGAAATGTTCATTCTTTTTTATTTGTATATGAACTTTATTTATTATAACATGTATTAACAGATGAGAATCTTAAATTTCTTTTTCCTTTTTTTTTTTTAAATCTCTGGACAGTACTTTATGGTAAGTCATCCTGTTATCATATCCGGCACATATAGATAAAAAGCCTTCTCTGTCCACAGAGAACTTGCCAGGAAATAGAAACCTAAACTTAAAGCCGAAAGTTTGTTAATGACTAGTAATATGTATGTGTTACAGAATTAAAATTCATACAATACTTGAAATTTCCTAACCTAATCCTAAAATGTATTAACTGCAGTGTTGAATAATTTATGGACAACATTAATGTAAGCTATTAGTATGTAAGTTCCCATAAATAGGACAAACGTTACTGTATATTTGAGACCAAAAGTTTGCTTTCTCCTTGACTTTTGTCAAGGAGACAATATTAAATACTGTACCAAGATATGCAGGCATACTCGTTATAGCATATGGGCAAATGTGCTCGCTCATTGTTTGAAAATATTCACTCCTTGTAAGACTTGAGTAGATGGGTTCTAAATAAGGCAGGAGTAGTAGTTTGCATATTTGTTTCGGGGTGTTTTTTTTTTTAAGAAGGCTCATTTCCCACAGTCGTTTTTTCTAGGAACTCTGTTATTCATGGAGGGATGATATACCAAGTCCTGAATAGCTCTCAGAACTCAGTTTGTAAAATAGTTCTCAAGTATGACCTTGAACAAGAAATTGCTTTTCTGTTTGCAGACATGAAAGTCAGGTAATGTTGATAACATTGGCTTCTCTTTACCAGCTAGTGGAAGCAGTAGCATGAAGAGATTGATGCTTACAAACTTAGCACATACAGAATTCTTGGCTTAGTGAGTTCATCGAAGTAGCAGTGTGTGTAAAAACCCGCAGCCACCTCGGTGAAACTCTTGTGGTTTTCCTGCCTTTTCTTCTATGTTTGTCACTTACGTTTTGTTCTGCTGATGCTTGGCACATACTTAACTTAGCTCATTTGATTTGTCGGACAGTAAAAGCATTACAAATGTCTTGCATGCTAGAGTAAATATATTTTCCAGTGTGCAACGCTTTCATTATTTTTTCAAAGTGTACAGTGACAGAAGAGTACTCTAAGACAAAATAGAAAAAAGAACATCCTCTTGAAATGTTTTGAGTAATTTGCACTGTTTTCTGTAGGAATTTTGTTTTGTGTATTCTTACGCAGGCTTACTGTATCTCAGACTACACAGATCAATAGGTAGCAGTAATATTTTGGTGTGCAGGTGATATTCAACTGCTTATAACTAGTATGAAACAAGCCCCATGCTGCAGAATTCAAGCAGAACACTGGCCACTACATAAAACCCAAGGAAAAGGCAATAAAGAATATATCTGATAAAATTGAGTTGTGAGCTGTTTAAACAGAGTCTAGGGACATTTACATTTATAAAGTAAAGGGTATGAATGTAAAATGGAGTGCTCGAAGATGAGCACATGGTAAATTTCTATTTGTAAACAGAGGATTCAGTAAGAATATGGTGTCTTACAAACCTGGTACAAATTCTAGGTAACTATTATAATCCCTTTTGGGAAGAGCAAAAGTGACTGCAAGCTTTTGCAGGATAATGAAGATAATGAAGGTCTGTTTGCCTTAATCTGTTCTGAGTGAAATATGAGACAAATCTGTTAAGTCTTTCTAGATGCATCAAACCAAATTTGTGTGGGAAGGAAACTTGGGTTAGATCCAAAGATACTGAGGCATTAAAATTTAAGATAATTCGTTCATATAATGTGATCTTCTGTGTTTAGATTCCTGTGTTCAGGAATGTCCTCCACTCTTACTTAATATTGTCTATAGCCTGGTAGCAGTTGTAATTTTCTCCTTACAGTGTACAGATGTTACAGCAAAAGGCTCTTGCGTGTGCAGACTCACAAATTTAGCATATTGTAAGTTGGTCACAGAAACATTATTTCATTCTACAAAAATAAAAGAAGAAAATCTTTGTTCTTCACTGGAAATATAGTAAGACTTCAAGGAACATTTTTTGAGAACAGTAAGAAAATATGAACACACTGCCTGAATTACTGAGACCTGTGTTCTTCAGAAACATCAGTCTCCTATATCCGAAATGAGTGCCTTTATGCCTGAGATCTTGCCTAGTTTTGAGATAGGTTCATGTACAGCTGTCTTTTCTGGAGCTGTTTAACTACGTATAAATATTTATATCACAAAGATTCTAAGTTCCTGAAATCCGTGCTTAGAAAATTGTCTTCTGATTCATGAATATTTGCACAATCTGAAACGTGTGCATTAGGAAAGAGCAGGTCATGGAGCAGGCTATTGGCTAGGCCTCTAAGTTGAGATATGGGAGAATGGCAGAACAGGGACTTAAACCAGGGTTTTTCCATGTTGTGAAGATGTGTTACAGCCAGCAGACTAAAGAGTTTACTTTGGCAAATTCCTGACTGTGTCTAACTAAAACTTTCTCCAAGTGATCCTGAATGTTCTTCCCTTTTTTTTTTTTTTTAAAGTGTTGATATAAATTAAAAAATTAAGAATTTCCAGTAAGCTGCATTTCCAAGTGACTGGCTGCCCCTTCTTATTTCAGGTCATGCATGCAGCTTCTGCCAGGTAACTGACCTGCAAGAATCAACGTACCAAGTTTTCTCTTGAATAGGCTGCTTGGAATTCCTGAGTCCTCTCAGAGCAAGCCACCTGCCTGCAGTGCTAATTCCAGTGTAGGTAGCTAATTTCACATGCCCTCTTAATATGTAACTTAAATGCAGCAATAGTGAACATACCCATGTGGAGACATTGAGTATTTTTCTCTCTATGTGAAATGGATAACTTAAGCTCTTTGTGCAAAATGTCTTGCTCTTTACTGCACACACGGACATTTAACTGCTGAAGTATTAAGGTGTATTGTAGGGCTCCTGAGAAAATGTTGTGATTATACAGTTGATGTAGACAGGTTACTTTGAAATAGTGTGCTGGGCTTAGTAGTTAGCCCTCATTATTTCCCTGTAGTTAAAGATCTAAGACAAAGCTGAGTATAGTGAACACTTCTCTTAGTATTGAGTCACCTATTTTAGAGAACTAAAGAAGTACTATCTTTTTCCTGTACAGCTGATCTGTGCTACAGGCGTGGTTGTAACCATTCACAATCTTGTAGCAATATGTCCTGGATAAACAAACAGTATGCTGCAGTAGCTGAGCTAGAGCTTTCTTTGAGAACTCTTCCTTGAAGGAGAGTCTAAAGAAATAAGTGTACTTTTCCCCCAAGTGATGGGCATAATTGAGTCAAGAAATAGAGGAAGCTGCAAATAAAAGTAGCTTTATGTCATATTAGTTATAAATAAGGCTCTTAGCCATGCTTTCCAAAGATGATGAGGCAAGAGGAATGCTGAGAGTTACTCGACTGAGGTACAAGCACTGTCAACTGGCAAAAATAAATCTTAGCCTAGATATTTAAGACCAATTTTTAAGTAAAGTATTGGACGGCCAGGTGGACTGCATGTCTATCCTGCTTGAGCAGTGCATTCTGTATGTTAGTGCCCAAAACTCAACGCTTAATTTAATATGTTCCTTTTCTCATCTAATGATGTAAACTTTAGCTTGTTTTTTTCCTTCCTGAATCTCTTCCTGTTCAAATATCCTTTGCTTACTTACTGGACTATCCAGTTACATTCCTACAATGGAGCAGTGAGATGCATCTGATTCAGTAGCTGCATGAACTAGATACTCCTGTGTCTTTGGAGACAGCCCTAGAACCTGAAGTAGCATGCTGCTACTTTTGCTTCAGGGCATGAATTGATTACTGCTGAAATCGGAAGGGAATGTTTTCTTCTCTGCATCTTTGCCTACTGCTGTAGGAACTGAATTGGAGAGATATAATATGTCAAACTGTATTTCACTATTGCTAGATGCTAATTTGACTGTTAATGTAAAGTTTGTTCTGAATGCAATTACAAATTGAGAAGTACAAATTCATTCTAATTGCGTTTCATGAGACTACTTAATCTTCACAAGGGCACTCAGTCTGCTCAGTGTATCAGTGTCATAAGCAGTGACTCATCACAAGAAGGAAGAAAATAAACTCTAGGTCTTTGTCTCTGGTACCGTGTGAGGAAGTAAATGAGTTTAGCAAGGTATTGGATTTTTAATTTTAAAATCAATCTCCTTTTCAGGCCACTTAAAATCTGCTGCTTCATTCTGACGTTGGATATGGAAATCATTTATAACAACGGAAAGCTTATTTTTGTTTTTTCATATGATATCTGAACAATAGGCATTTTCCCAACAGTCCTACAATATTTACTTACTTTTCCTACAGCTATATGTATTTTTGGAGAGAAGAGGATATGTGCATAAGGGGAAAGAATAAAGAACTTGGTGCAGCAAATATAGTAGGCTTCATTACAAGTCAGTTTTGACAATTTCATTATGTTACTTCTAAAGGGTTCTGTTCACTTAAATGATGATACGACAAAGATGCATCATATAGATTAAAATGATTTTCCTATATTTTTTGATCACTTATTACTTGGCTCTGAAATGCAAAGTTTTTGAAAATGTGTTGCAGATTCTTTTTAAAAAAAAATATGTACAAGCATTTGAGAAAGATGCCCTGTTACATCTCCATTGAATGTAGTAGTTGTTATCAGGGATGATTCTGGCAAAGAGGTAAGATATAGTGCTAAGCCAGCGTTCCCATAGTTGCTTCACTGGAAGTTCCTATACACTTGCATCATGTAAGCATCCCGTGTGATGTTAATTAGCCCAGTACTTCAGGGAGTGGGAGAGTGAATAGGAGAAATGTAAAAAGCTTCCAAACGAGCTTGAAACTGGTTATGTTGGGCCTGTTTCTTATTCTCTTCTGCCAACATACTACTGGCTGTTTTGTCCTGGAGATGTTATTTAAGGATATGATTGTACACTGTTAGCACCTTGAACAGGACCTGGGAAAGTGCCTACCAGGATGCTGAGGCAGAGCTACTGGTCGTCTTAGCAAAGTATATGGGCCCTTTAGGTGGAAAAGTAAGTAGATCTACTTTATGATGAAGTAACGCAGCAGTGTGGATCCTAGCTCACAAACTGAATTTTTCCAACCCAGAATGAGGAAGACAAACATCCTTTTCAGGAAGGATACTCTTTAAAAAGGGCTGTACCTGAAGGACAGTACTCAACAGCGGTGGGAGGGGGTGGGGAGTCTCCTAGACTGACTGACTGAAGGCCACTGCTGCCTGGCCCAAAGGGAAGGAGAAGCTTTGAAGAATTTTTGTTCTTTGGGTCAGCTCACCTTGGCCCATTTTCATCACATGAAGCCTAAGAGGCATTTCCACCAGAAGCTGTGGCACTCCTTCTGGATTGGTAGAAGGCAAGACGGTTGTTCGCTTGCTCTTGGAGAAGTTTATTGTTTTCGGCTTGGCACTATGCAAACGGCAGTTTTACAGCTGCTGCCAACTTGAATGCAGGCAAAGATCACCATTTAGGTATGATGGTATGAAATCTAGGCAAAAGATTAAACTGTAGTCAGAAACACAGCCTTTGCTAGTGCAAAATTCCTATGAGTAGCACAGGAATAATGGTGTGTTGTGCTAGCTAAGTTGCAGCATTTTTCTAAATCTGTAAGAGTGAAAAAATATGAAGTGCTCCCATACAGTGCTTTTCAAAAGTACTGGGTAAATACAGTGGCTGTATGACCTTTTTCAGAAATCCTCATCATAGTAGTTAAAAAATTAAAGGATTATTTAACTGAAGTGCTCACATTAATTCATTAGGCATAATTTGTTTGTGACTCAAAGTTAACATGGTCCAATAAAAAAAATAAGAGTGGTCTTTGTAAATTGAACTCATACTCAGTGACTTAATATTTCTGAAAGTAAGAATATGGGTGCTTAGAACCTGAGTCACTAACCTGACTTTACAAAGTTAATGATTTGACTGAAATAAAATATGGCAAGATTTTGTTTATAGTGTATATTCAGCATTCATCTATTCCGTGATATGAATATTATTCCATCCATCATCTACAGTATTTGCCTAGTTTAGCCCAATTTACAGGCACAAGAAGTAACTCTTAAAATCTTTTTTCAAACTGTTCTGTAGAGGACTATGATGGAAAGCTAAATGGGGACTTTTTGCTGTGAATTGGATGAGATGGGATACAAACAGTATTCTCATTTTCATCTGACAAGCCCCATGACTGACGGTGAGAAAGTTTTGAAGACTGAGCCAACACTCTGTGCAGGGCTGAGATGTTTGCAAGAGCTTTGCATAATTGTTCATAACAGTTAAACCTTAGAAGACAAATCCCCATTACTTTTGATTAAGGGGAACCGGAGGCACTTGTAAAACCAAGTATTACAAATCATTTTTAGCCAAGTTCCTATGTAGATACACACAGGAAACTAAGTGCTTTGATTTAAGGGTATTTAGGTCAACAGAATCAAACATATATTTTCACATTCCAAATATAATCAAATGAAATTATATGAAAATTTTAAGCAAGGGGAAAAAAAGTAGTGTGGCATAAGTAGCTATGATTTTATATGCCATATTTTGAAACAAACGTATGCTGCTTGGAGACAGGCCTGTAAGAAGACGCAGAATGAATATTTTGCTTCCTGACTCAGTGATGCTTTTTTGTGTTTGTGAATTTCGTTTATGAAGTACCAATTAGAATGTCAGCACACGGCTTGCTCTTTGGACACAGAAAACATAACGCTTAGCACTGGGGATTTAAGATCTTAATTCAGCTCCCTGTTATGTGTATTTTGGAATACACTCTAATGACATGATCACATCTGTGCTTTCTCTTTTTTTTTTTTTTCCCCTCCCTTTTTCCTCCACCTCGTTCACAGCGTAGACAGCTTGGACAAGATGAGTCAGAGCTGTTCAGTAAACAAACAGAGAATATTAGATTTTTCCTTCCTGTACTAAAAAAAGTGATATCACCTACATCTAAACAGACATCTTTCTGAATTTATGGGATTGGTTTTCAAGAGGATCTTAAGCCTGGTATAATAGACTGGTTGCTGGAAAACATTTAGATAGTTTTAAAAAAAAATGATTGCCCCAGAGAGACTGATAAATACAATAGAAAAATGGTGAGTCATATAGACCATTAATTAAAAAAGTAATCAAGAGAATGTTGTTGAGACATAATTGCCTTTGTGTGGGTAGAAAAAATCGAGCTAAAATAATTGTAGAAGGTAGAGGTTGAAGTGTTTGAAAAATGACTGAGAGAAAAACACTTTTTTGTAACCATAGGTGTTTTAAATCAAAACAGGGTGAAAATATGTTTAGCTTAATCTAAATGCATTTGTATATACTTATGTGACATATTTATTTAGAATGCTTGAGTCTCTTTGGCATTCTCTTACAGTGGCATATGGAGCAATAAATGTGCCACAGTTTCTCAATTCTGCCCTTTACGTTCTAATTAAAGGAGAAACAACCCACTTATATGACTGTTTCCCAGAAGGAGGTATGATGAAATTTTTGATAGTTTGTGATGTGGAAGCTTCTCCCACTCTCCCTACACAAGACCTTAGAGAACGGAGTCTATTTCATAAGTATCTGGTAGAGGTGGGAATCTTATAATGAGAGAATCTTAATAGAAAAATATCACAGTTTAGTTTGTATCATAAGACAGAGTAAACAATGAAAGATTTCTTATGTTCTCTAGTAATGGTTGTATTTGGATGAGCAAAAATCCGATTCTCTTTCATGGGCA